TACTCCACTACCTCCCAGAGTTGGCTCAATTTTAGTCCATTGAGACAGTGATGGCATCTAACCATCTCTCATCCGCTGCTGCCCCCTTCTTCTCTTCCCTTCAATGAAAGATTATTAAATTTGTTTTTATTGTTTATAAATGCTCCAAAAGATAACTAGCTAAAGCAAAACCAGTGGCACTGACAGAAGAGAATTGGGCAAATCCACCATTACAGACAGATGTCACCATTCTTCTCTCAGCAATTGATAGAACTAGTAGGCAGAAAGTCAGTAAAGATCTAATGGTCCTGAACAACACTGCTAACCATCTTTAACTAATTGACATTAATGTTACACTCTCACTAAAAACAGCAGAATACACTTTTCAAATGCAGTTGGAACATTCACCAAAATAGACTATATTTAGAGGAGTAAAGCAAACCTTGACAAATTTACAAGAATAGGTAGTTCATAAGCTATCACACCAGATTTAAAGTAGAAATTAATACAAAAAAGATATCTGCAAAATATTTGGAAATTAAGCTTTTCTAAATAACCCATCTTAAAAGAGAAAAATCACAAGAATAATTAGAAAGTATTTTGAATTGTATGAAAGTTAAAATGCAACACATTAAAATTTATGGGATGCAGTGAAAGTGGCATTTAGAGGAAAATTTTTACCACTCAGTGTTTATGTTAAAACAGAAGAAAAATCTCAAATCAGTTACTGAAGTTTCTATCTTAAGAAACTAGAAAAATCAAATTAAATCTAAAGCAGAAGAAAGAACAGGAAGAAGGGAAATCATTTACATTTAAATGAAATCTTAAGCAAAAAAAGAGAGAAATCAAGGAAACCAAAGCTGTTTTTTTTTTAAAGACAATAAAATTGATAAGCCCTCTATCCAGACCTACCATATAAAAATGAGAAGATGCAAATTGCAAATGTCAAGTGTGAAAGAGAATATTACAGATACACACACACACACACACACACACACACAGATCTGAAAACATTCAAGAAATAACAAGGACATATTATGAAGAACTCTATGGCCAGAGATTCAACAACTTACAAGAAGTGGATAAAATTCTTAAAAAATACAAACTGTCAAAGAGGAAATAATCATGAATAGTTCTATAAGTACTAAGTAAATTGAATTGTATTTTAAAATCTTTAAAAAAGAATTTAAACAATAATAACAACTCCAGGCCTACATGCTTTTTTGGAGAATTCTACCAAACATTTAAGGAACAAATACTACCAATTTTATATACATTATTCCATAATATAAGAACAAATATAGATGCAAAAATCATCAACCAAATATTAGCAAATTTATTTCAGTAATATATTAAAAATACATTATTTCATGATCAATTGGGATTTATCCTGGGAATGAAAGTCTGGTCCAACATTCAAAAATTTATAGGTAACCACATCAGTAGATTAAAAAGGAAAAACTATGATTATCTCCAGAGAAATAGAAAGCCCTTTTACAAAATTCCCCCATTTGTGGGGAGAAGAAAAAAAAAAACCTCTCAGAAACTAAAAATAAAAAGGAACTTCCTCAGTATGATAAATTGCACCTTAAAAAAAAAAATCTTCAGGGAATTCACTGGTGGTCCAGTGGTTAGGACTCCCTGCTTTCACTGCCAAGGGTGCAGGTTCAACCTCTGGTCCCAGGACTATGATCCCAAAAACTGTGCAGCATGGAAGAAAAAAAAAACTTGAGTTAATCATATGCTTAATAGTAAATGACTGCATGGTTTCCCCTTACGGCTGAGAACAAAGTAAAGATTAACTGGAGGTCCTAGTTAGTGCAATAAGTGAAGAAAAATAAATGGCAAACATATTGGAAAGGAAGAAATAAAACTGTCTCTATTCACAAATGACATGATTATCTATATAGAACATCCCAAAGAATTTTTCAAAAAGCTACCAGCACTAAAAAGTAAATTTAACAAGGTCCAGGACCTGAGACAAAAAAAAAATCATGTAAGCACCTAGAATTAGTAAGTAACTAGAAATTGAAAAAATAACATTTACAATATTTTTTTTAAGATATACTTAGGTATAAATCTTACAAAATACATACAGTATCTGTATGTTTAAAGCTATGAAAAACTGATAAAGCAAATCAAAGAAGACTCTAAATAACTGGAGAGACGTATGTTCATGAGAATCCCAGCGAGCTGCAGTCCCTGAGGTGGCAGAGTCGGACATGACTTAGCAACTGAACAACAATGTTCTCAATAACTCAATATTGTTAAAATATTAGTTCTCTCAAAATTGATTAACAGATTCAGTGGATTCCAATCAACAATTTTTGTCAAAATTGACAAGCTAATACTAAAATTTGTATGGAAAAGTAACTACAATAGCCAAAACAATCTTTGTTTTGATAAAGAAGAACAAAGTTGAAGGACTCATACTACATGAGTTGTAGACTTACTATATTACTTTACTGCTTTCGATAGTCATGACAAGTATGTATTGGGATTTCCCTGCCAATCCAGTGGTTAAGACACCTGTCCCCCAATGCAGGAGGCACAGACCAGGGAACTAAAACCCTGCATCGCTCATGGCACAGCCACAAAAAAGGCAAGTGTACACTGCAGAAAATATAGGCATATACATCAATGAAACAGACTAGAGGGTTCAAATATAGTCCCACATGTAAAGTGATTTTCAACAGAGGTGCAAAGGCAATTCAATAGAGGAAGAATATTCTTTTCAACAAATGATACCAAAATAATTGGATATCCACATGGGAAACATCAATGTCAACCCATACTTTGCATCTTATGCAAAAATTAACTCAAAATGGATTATAGACCTAAATACAAAACATAAAATAATTATTTTAGAAGGAAACACAGGTTGGGGGTCACTTGCTGATCTTAACTTAGGTAGAGATTTCCCATATGCAAGACCAAAACTACATATAAAAGAAAAGTGATAAATTGGATAAAATCAAAATTAAGAAATTGTGCTCTTCAGAAGTCCTTAAAAATGAAAAGACAGACTGGGAAAATATTTGCAAATCACATGATGTGTGATAAAGCATTTGTATCCAAAATACATAAGGAACTTTCAAACTCAGTAAGAAAATAAGCAACCCACTTTTCTAAAAAATCGGTAAAAGATTTGGACAGCTGTTTTGTCAAAGAATAATATATTCAAGTGGCACACAAGTATATAAAGATGCCCAACATTATTATTATTGGGGAAATGTGAATAAAAATTTCAATGAGATACCACATCACACAACTCTTAGAATGGCTAAAATCAGGAAATTTTTTTTTTAACAATATTAAGTGCTCTCAAGAATAGGACCTAACAATAACTCTCACACATTGCTAGTGTGAATTAAATCTGCAGCCACTCTGGAAACCAGTTTGATAGTTTCCTATAAAGTTAAATGCATACCTACCTGACCCAGCAATCCCACTTCTAAGTGTTAAGCCAAGTGAAATGAAAACTTACACGTTCCCACCAAAAACTTTACATCAGTGACTTTATTCATAACCACCAAAAACTGGGAAAAAACTCAAATATACCTCAACTGTGAAGTGTTCCATAAGCAAATATGGTACATCCATCTAACAAAAGACTAATAATAATAAAACAATATATGTAACAGTATAGTTGAGTCTCAGATACATCACGCTAAACGAGAGAAGCCAGAAGCTAGAAGTTGACTATTACATGATTCTATTTACACAGTCTTCTTGTAAAGGAAAAACCCAGAGGGACAGAAAAAAGACCAGGGGTTGCCAGGGCTTGACTTTATAACCAGACACCTAGCTGGTCGGATAACGACTCAGAACCTAGTTGGAGAATAGCAACACCTTCAGATGAGCTTTGGGAATGAAGAAGGAAATGTCTTTCGTGTGGTATGAAAATCGTTTACTGCTCCCCCTCCCCCATGCGCCCCATAATTCCACGATCCAGAAAGAAGGCCTTAAATTGGGGGGCAAGGAGAGGATATGAACACGGGCCAAAGTGAATGGCTCTTCCTCCCTCCGTATCTAGGATGGCTCGGGAAAGTCTCACCTTCATTTCCCCCAGTTTATCAGTTTTGAAATGGGGCTTTACTCCCCGCGGAGGAAGGCCGGCTCTCCACCCTTGCCTACCCGGTGCGGACCTCGCAGCGCTTGGGGTCCGCGGTGCGCCGCTCCGGGGCTGGGCGCGGCCGTCCCGAGCGCTCACCGGGAGTGTGGTAGCCCGGGGCTGTGACAACGGACCCGAGCCGGGCGCTGCAGCGCGGGGACCCGCGGGGAGGCGTGCGCGGGGCAGGCGGCCGCCGACCGGCTGGCGGGTCTGACGCGCCGCCGCGCTCGCAGTCTCGCTCCGGCTCCAGAGTGCGCGCCGCTGCTTCCCCGCGCCTCGGAAGCGTTGCGTTGCGTTGCGGGCCGCGCCGCTGCCGCCGCCCGATGGCGAAGCTGCGGGATTGCCTGCCCCGCCTGATGGTCACGATCCGGTCCCTGCTCTTCTGGTGCCTGATCTACTTCTACTGCGGGCTCTGCGCCTCCATCTACCTGCTCAAACTTTTGTGGAGCATCGGCAAGGGACCCACGCAGACCTTCCGGCGGGTCCCCCGGGAACACCCGCCCGCGTGCTTGAACGACCCCTCTCTGGGTACCCACTGCTACGTGAGGATCAAGGTGAAGGCGGGCGCGGGCCCGGCGTTATCGCGAGGGAACGTGACGGCCGTGACAGCGGAGGCCGCCGGGCTGATCGCATGACGCCCAGCCCAGCGGCCCCCAGTGTTCTCGGGGCTAGCAGGGCGCGCTGCAGGGACGGAGATGATGCCCGGGGGGTGCTAGAGGGGCGAGGCGCAACGGGAGAGGGTCAGGGGGGTGTGTGTGTGTCGTTATGGCCCTTGCGTGCGTGTGAGAGAGTCTAACAATCTGGGTCCTGTTACTGTCCCCTACTTCTCCACCGCAACAGCCTGCTCCAACTGTCAGGGGAAGCGGTCGTCTGTCACCTTTTTGCCCTTTAGAGCTCAGATAAGCTGTAGGGAATTGTTTCTGGTGGCGCCCTACTGTCTCAGGAGATGGTCCTTGCCCACATTTTAGCGATTGGAACAGTAAATAGAATAAGTCATTGCAAATCAGAAGTTTATTCCGATCAGCAGAATGGAGCATTCACAGATGACCTAAGCAACATCAAACAATAAATAAATGGTGCATGTTTGTGGAGAAGGAAGCAGTGCTATGATGCCAGAGACCAAAGGAATGGCACAAAAAGTAAATGTCAGCTCTTCATGCAGACTCTAATTGTCCATGCTTGTCCCAAGCTTTCTTACAGCCCACGATTATTCTATTTCCTGAGGCTCCAGGTGGTGAAGGGAGATGGCTTTTTGTGATGCACCCTACAAATCTGACTCACAGGCCTTTCAAAAATAGCCTCCATGAAGGAATATTTTTGTCACCAGGTCTGGGGTTCCTGTTAGGAGCTAGATTGCCCTGCAGCTGGAGTTCAGACCACGGAGGGGCATGTCCTTTTTACCCTGAAGTTGACATGAGAATTAAATGAGTTAATATTTGCGAAAAACAAATAAGCTAAAGCCAAAAATCTTATAACAGTGCCTGGTACATAGTAAAATGAAATGAAATATTTATTCACTAAATCCAATCAAGTTCCTACAGCCTTTCATCTTCTGAGACTCACTACCAGTAAAAGAAGTTACTGAACTTCCAGGAAGGCATTCTGCAGTAGAGGGTAGAAGTCAGAGTTGTTGTGTTCATCCTACCTGAGGGGGAAAATCAGTTTAAGAATCATTTGGAATTCATCACAGTGACTCTGTTCTGACTCTGGCCACTTAAAGAGTTTCCGCAGAGACCTAGAACCAAGGAATAGAAAGAGCATTGTTCTGGGCAGTAGGACAAGATGGAGGTTCTAGCCACAGTCCTGCTCCCAACCATTTTAATGACCTATAGTAACATCTTTGGACTTTAGTTTCTAACTCTGCAAAAATGATAGGGTTGAATTAGATGAGCTTTAAGATTTTTTTTTCACATCTGGCAACCCAATTACTTGGGCTATCTGATATAAAACCCAGTCAGTCTCTGGGTTTTGGTTCTTGTTTTTTTACCTCACTTCCTTCTGAGTTTTTGTGTTTCTTTCTTGTTCCACCTTCCTTTCTTCTATTTGCTTTGTGTTTGCTATATTTCTGTGATTTTTCTCATTTCTATGATTTTTGTTTCCCTTGGGCAATCTTGTCTCCCATATGCAGAGCAAAGGTTTGAGCACTCAGAGCATTCGGCTGTTAGACATACACTGACATGACATGAGGAGCAGGCAGCCAGGGGAACTGTGCATGCAACTCTCAACTGAAAATAATGTGGGAGGGAGAGAACTAAAAATAAGGAAAGGAGGTGTGAATTATATAACTGATGGCACAGCTCTTGACGGGCAAGCTGAGAAAAGTATATGACTAGGAGGTAAATAATGGCAGGAATATAAATGCAGATCAGAATTATTTACTTGTCCTGCAGAATATGAGTGAGATGAAGTGTGACACATCAGTAAGAAAATTATAACTTTCAGAAGCTCATAATATAGATAAATTGACCTTGTAAGTAGAAGGGAATGTCAACAAAAGCGAATCTGTTAATTTACCCTGCTGATAAACAATGGTTATTTTTTCTTTCTGAAAATTAATGATACTTATTTTATCTCTTGATATTAAAAATAATGCAAGTGAAATTTTTTAGTGGAATGGAAATGCTAATTGTACTTTTACAGTCAACACAAAGCGTCACTGAAATCTCATGCACTCTATTTCCTACTGCAGGATTCGGGGTTAAGATTTCATTATGTTGCTGCTGGAGAAAGAGGCAAACCACTTATGCTGCTGCTTCATGGATTTCCAGAATTCTGGTAAACTTAACAGTAACTTTTTCTTTTGCACGAAAGATTTGGCTTACCATAGTGTCATTTTCTTGTAGTGATTTTTAATAGACCCCATGCTATGATCAAGTGCTGGCCTAGAGTTACTACTCCTAAGTGTTCCTCAATCACAAGAATGATATTCCTTCTGTTTTAAAGAAACGTGCATATTGTTATCCTAAATTTATTTATTTTTGAGAATTAAAACAAGTATTATTTAGTGTTTCAAATTTTTAAAATAGTCAATTGAAAGACAGTTTTTAACTTTTTATTTTATATTATAATATAGCCAGTTAACAATGTTGCGATAGCTTCAGGTGGACAGCAGAGACCCAACTATACATACACATGCATCCATTCTCACCCAAACTCCTCTCCCATCCAGGCTGCCACATAACATTGAGCAGAGTTCCCTGTGCTATACAGTAGGACTTTGCTAGTTTTCTATTTTAAATATGGCAGTGTGGCTCAATGTTGTGTGGCAGCCTGGATAGGAGGGGAATTTAGGGAAGAATGAATACACGTATATGTATGACTGAGTCCCTTCATTTTTCACCTGCAACTATCACAATATTGTTAAAGACTAAATTAGTACAGCAGTGTGTACATATTGATCCCAAACTCCCTGACTATCCCTTCTCCCTATTTTCCCCCCTTGGCAATCATAAACCAGTTTTTATAGTACCTACTGATGGACATGAGTTTGAACAAGCTCCCAGAGATAGTGATGGACAAGGGAAGCCTGGCATACTGCAGTCCATGGGTTGCAAAGAGTCGGATACCACTGAGCGACTGAACTGAACTGTGGACAAAATGCAACACTGGGTGGTAAAGAAGATTTGAAAGAAACCATAGAATTAGAGTGCCTGTTACCTGGCAGCCTTTGGTAAGGCTTGGGTGAGGCAAAGGCAGGAGGAGAAGAGGGCTCATGGAAACTGGAAAAGGACTCTTTCCTATGCACATAGTAACAGGCTCAGATGAATTCAGGACAAATTAAGGATCAGAATATTTCATGTGGAGAAGAAAACCTATAGCCAAAATTGCTAGTTACCTACGGGAAAATACTCTGTTCCCCTTTGGACCCCACAGAACCAAATAAGTACAGATGAAACAGCACATGATGAAACTTTTAAAAAATGAATATCTTTTAAAAGATGGTACATATTAAGGTGGTAAAAAGAAAATCAGATTTTTGCTAGCTCAGGGTTATAATCTTGAAATGGAAAAATGGACCTAAAAATTATATTCTCTAAACTTACTTAAATGTAGAATGTGTGGTATGTTTTTAAAGTTCTAGGACAATGCCCTGTCCCCAAATTTCTCCTTTACTTTTGCTCTTAACACCTAGAATTCCACATTACATATTCCTCACTTCCTTTAGAATTTTAAAGATTTGTGTCATCCAAATTCCTAATTTAAAATGCATCTAGCTCTGAAAGAGTATTTAGTTAATGCTTTTAGAGTAAAAGGGCCTTTATTAATAAATGCTTTGAGATTGCTAGTGCACTAGGAAGTGTTAGGCATTGAAGAAGAGAATGGAGGAGGGCAAAAACCCACCTAGCTCATCATTTTTCCTGAGCAAAAAGTCTATGACATGCATGCATGCTAAGTCACTTCAGTCGTGTCTGACTGTTTGCAACCTCATGGATGGTAGCCCGCCAGGCTCCTCTGTCCATGGGATTCTCTAGGCAGGAATACTGGAGTGGGTTGCCCTGCCCTTCTCCAGGGGATCTTCCCGACTCAGAGACAGAACCTTTGTCTCTTACATCTCCTGCATTGGCGGACAGGTTCTTTACCACTGGCACCACCTGGGAAGACCCTATGACATGACTGGCTTACAAATAAAATGTTAGTCTAAAGTATTCATCAAATCTGCATAAAGTAATATGGGCAGTGAATTCTGGCTCAGCCGCTTAGTTGCTGAGACTTCTGTTTGTGTAAGTCATACCCTAAACCGAGACCTCTATGTTGACATTTTGTCTTCCCTTCCAAATTACCACTGTTACTCGTTATGCAATCTAGTCAATTCCATTCATGAGCTCCATTCAGGAAAAAGTCAGTTCAAATCAGAATTTAGGATAACACTGTTTTGATTAAACCACTTCAAATCTTTCTTAGACTTTCCTTTTTCTGTTCCCAAAAGCCCTTTCTCTTGCACTTTTCCCCTTTTATGCTTGCGTGCTCAATCTCTCAGTCGGGTTCAACTCTTTGCAACCCTCTGGACTGTAGCGCACCAGGCTCCTCTATCCGTGGAGTTCTGCAGTCAGGAATACTGGAGCTTGTTGTCATTTTCTCCTTCAGGGAATCCTCCTAACCCAGAGAGTCTCCGGGGACTCCGACATGGGCAGGCAGATTCTTTACCCCTGAGCCACCTGGGAGGCCCTCCTTTTTTTTTTTAAGAGCCAAAAAGCTTTGGCATTTTGAACCAATTTCAATTTATGTTGCCCATTAATTATCCCTTTATTAATCAAGTTTTGCCTAAATGCGCATGAGTTTATAATATTGTAGATCAAGTAGGTCAGATTATTTGATACAGTGAAAACAAAATAATCATAAACTGGCAATGTGTGTAAAAATGCTTTTTAATCAGAAAATCATTATACAAATATAAGGTATTATTTACATTCATCATCATTAAGAATAGCTGTTGAGAACTGGTGATGTTTAATATATACTATTAGATGTTATACAGAAACAATAAAATTCTGGGTCTTCTTAAAATATAGAGGAAACATCAAACAATACAGATCTATGAATCCTTTAGCTAAATTAGTGCCAAATAAGGCTGTCACAGATGATTTTCTCCCCCTCTATCTCCACCTCAATTTGCATTGCTTTTAAAAATATTTTGAGCTGATGCAGGCAGTTTCTGGCAATAACACCAGCTGTATGGGACACACTCGTCATTACTCAAGTGCTGAGGCAAGTAAGGGCTCTTCATGCATACAGCTGAGCACGGAGCCTGATGACTGTGGCTTTTTCTCCATTGTAAAAGGGAAGAGGATATTCTGCATCTGAAAGAGGCTAGCCTGGTAAACTCGGAGCCCTCCTTGTGTTAAGAATAACTAAGAAAGAAGTTGCTTTTTCTGAAGTGCCCTCTGCCGCAGCTTCCCAGGTGACTCAGTGATAAAGACCCTGCCTGCAATGCAGGAGACTCAGGTTCGATCCCCCGGTGGGGAAGGTCCCCTGCAGACAGAAATGGCAACCCACTCCAGTATTTTTGCTCGGGAAATTCCATGGACAGAGGAGCCTGGTGGGCTACAGTCCGTGGGTTAGCAAAGAGTCAGACAGGACTGAGCGACTAAACCACAACAAAGCAACTGGGTGGGGGAGGAGGGGGACAGTGTGGATGAAAGTAGCTAGTTTTGTTTATTTATAATATTCTCAGGAGTTACTGATTTTATGTTTCATTTTTGTCTCAAGGGGGTTATTTTGTTTTATTCATGTGAATGACATGCTCATCAGTCTATCACCGGGGTGATTTCTTTTTCAGTTTAATGTGTAAATCAAATATGCTTTATTGATGAACTCTAGGAAGATTACATTTAAAAAGTATTTTGTCATTTATTAAGATAGCAGTTGCAGCCTTTAAATATTCCTAGAAATGTTTAAGATATTGTTTGGCTCCACTCATTGATAATAGAAATACTTGGATTTATTTGGAAGGCAATTTAAATTATTAATAACATAATGACATATGCAGGTATTATATTTATATTAAATGTAAAATGCTATAGGATTGTACACATTATTTTGAGTCAAATTTCTACCTTGACATCTCTACTCAAATGAATTCTAAATGAAGACACAGGTACTTAGGATATTAAAACAATGCACAGAATTGCATGAGTAGAAATTGAATATAAATTCCCCAAGAGGAATCTGGGAACTTTAGTTCAGAGTTGTCTCAAGGTTTGAACTGGGACAGAGTTTTACTGAACAACTGGTATT